TGTGTGCTGGTGTGTGTGTGTCGTGTGGTAGTGTGCAAGGGACGTCGAAACGTAAATCTGCCGCAAGAGCTACGGTAGACGAAAGTTGAGAGGGAGGTAAGTACGCTACGCCATTGTCCGCGGAAAACTACCACTTGAGACTGTAAATCATTTAGTGAAAGATAGCGTGAGAACGGAGGGGGGGAGAGATTTAAACCGGATCGCGGAAAGGAACGCCAATCCTGGGGCCACTCGAGTATAGCTACTAAGACCTTCACTAGTACCCTAGGACGAACTGGCACGAAACGACGACGCGAGACTCATATGTGTGGAGCTCTTCGAGTAGCGACGAGTCTCTGTCAGTATATACAGACGGGCGGTTGATTCCTTAGCTAGGTTAATAGAATAGGGTACTCCACAAGTAACAAATGGTGGTACTTGAGTTGTTTTGCGTAGATCCACTAAGTTTACATGTAAAGTCACCATCAGGGACGTCAATTTATGGTCGATAATTTTCCAGGGGACAGTACCGGTAAAGATGACTAGTGGAGTTAGGTAACAACTCCAGATAATTTTATCTATATATAACATGTTCAACAGGTTTGAGTGTAACCAAAGGAGATGTTGGATAGAGACTTATGCATACGACAGTCAAGTGGGCCATTAAGAGGAGACAGGATGTGCCGCTTTGGGTCGGCTCTTGGTGTGTGGGCGTACGGACCCGGACCGCTCAAACCCACGACGAGTCTGCTTCAAGGCGCCACAGAGCGACAGGCGGGCTGGGTGTGGTGACACTCGGTCGAGTGTGCAGGGCGAGGAGCGTCGTCGCTCGGAAGTGCGTTGTAGGGCGGTCACACGACGACCACACTCCTCCAGGCCCCGTAACCAGTTTGCATTGCCCGAGCGCCCTGTCATTGCATTGTCAAGGGGGGTGATATGGGCTTTATGCAAGCACGATATGGTCTTCATTTGTTAACCTTTTCTCTTTAGGGTTGTCCGCAAGACCCCGTCGTATCTGTCCAGAAAGACACAATCTCTAAATGGCGATGTCCCACATGAAACTCCCAACACTGGAGACGACCCCTACCCATTATTGGGCTTTTCGGGTCTGTACCCTGTAAATTTCGTTAGGAGTCTATCGTACATCGAGACCTTTGTCGATCGGATCCTGAGAAAGGTTCAAGTTTTTACGTGGAAGATTGTAGACTTTCGAGTGAATCATTAAACAAAAAACATTAACATCGGACCTTGTGTCCGTAAGTACATTTCTTAAGTGTGTTGAGGTCCTCCGGGGTTACATACAACCGGGATCTAATGAGATCAGCACACTTTAGGAATTTTGGTTTCCAACGAAATTGAGAGACAGTTTAGGAGTTCTATAGTGTACAATTGGTCAGTCAAACACTTCCACACTACCCACGGTAAAACATGAAACCTGTCCATCCGGATTTACAGGGACTAGGTCAGCCAATACGATTCGATTCGATTTGGAAGACCGGGATCAAATTATTGTAGTGAAACCGTATCCCGATACTTATACTTTACAAGAGAGTCGTTCTTTAGTTTATGTCGTTAAAGGTGTTTTACAACATAAAAGAAATCTAATTTGTGGTCATAACGAAAATAAAAATGGGATGATTTTCTGGCATCTTCAGTGACTATAAAGGTAATTAGCATAATGAGATTTAGATATTTTATCGTCCTAGGATTTGGGTATTTATCATTAGACAACACACAAAACCATAGAAGTAACTGTATCACCATGTCTCGAGTCAGATTATGTACACACAACCAAGCACTGCTGGCACACACAAGGACAAACACTGGTAGTCACTCACAAGGGACAAACACTGTAGTACACACAAGGACCAAACCCTGTAGTCCACAACTTACGACGTAGAAGTATGTCCGGACGACTGCAAATGTAGGGTGTGAGATAAGTGTCTATTGAGAGAGACTGACAGGGATCCTCCTTTTTCTTCACGTAAGCGATGGAAGTTCCTCCTCCGCAGGTCAGGGTGTGTGTGTGTGTGTGTGTGTGTGTGTGTGTGTGTGTGTGTGTGTGTGTGTGTGTGTGTGTGTGTGTGTGTGTGTGTGTGGAGCTGTGGTGATAAGGATATGCTGTAACCACATTCACCCCCCTTTGTTCTCTCAAAGTGAAACACACAGTGAGATTTCCATGACGTGACGGCGGGGAAGACGCTGCGAGCTGCAGACCCCGACTCTGCAGAGAAGCTGCCCTCGCCTACTGTAAATCCTGAGACGAGACGAGACGAGACGAGACGGGGCTTCTGATTTATAACGCATCATAACCATGTTTCTGATTCATTACAGAGAAACAGGTTGTTGCAATTTACAGGAAAAGTCAGGAATGAAAAACACTGGGGTCAATGTTGGAGTAAATACGTGTTGGTGAACAGCTCTGAAAGATACTTTATTAACTTTACACTAAACATTGTAAACCAGGTATTCTGTTTTTAACTTTATTTATCTTTTAAGAATTTGAAACAAATGATTTCCAGCTTGTATTTAAAGCAGGAAAACTGAGAAATTCAATTTTGCAATCTTGGTTACTGAAACACATTAGAGCTTTAGCTGTCATAGCTTCAATTACAACATTTGAATATTTTGTGAACGCACATGTACTGCAAGCTGGTAAACAAAAGCTGATTATTATGTATAGCGTCTACTATCCGAACAATGTTTGACGATTATAACCTTTATTTTGTTTAAATGTCCCAGCCGAACTCTAACCTTTGTTTGACATTGCAATATCGAGTTGGACGTCCTTACTTTTACGACT